AAGAAACTAAGGTTCCGAATGTGTCCACAGAGAAACATTTGGTTACTTTTGTTATCCCAAGGGGTGTGGGAAAGGCCAAACTCCTATTTATCTGTTTTTCTAGTAAAGTTTGTGTAGGATAACTGTGCACAACTATGAATTTCAACCTCTTGCAGTTACTATAGCATACAGTCCAGTGTGTACTATCCCTAAATACATTTCTGGCCTGGTAGATGAATGCTGATTTCCCAAAGAAATGTGATAATATAAAGCGATGAAAAATGTCTAAATTTAAGTCTATTAATAACATTCTTCTTATCCCTTTGTCGACCTTTCCTACTGAATAATTAAAAAATCAAGATCTTACAAAAATCTGAATCATTAAACAAATCCAGTTCCCACATTGGACATGAACAAAAATGTATGTCTTACTTTACACTATAAGTCCATCACTTCTCTGGAAGGAGGTGAGTAACATGTTTCATGCATAGACATTTAGAAATGGTTTGTTATTGTTTTGATAATAGTTCTAAAATCTTACAAAGTTGTTTTTCTTTAAAAATTTTGCTGCCAGTATATAAATTATTTTTCTATGTTGTTATTCTCATACAGATTTTTAAAATAAAGTTCCGTTACCTATGCAAACCTGATTGCAGAAAGGAACTGGGGGAAAAGGTGATATAACTTCATCAAGAAATCATTATTAATGAGAAGAAGAAAAAAACCTTTCATTTAAGATTTTCTAATTTAAAAATCCTTTCTCTGTGGAGAATTGTTCTAATGATTGGCATATACCTTAAGTAATAAACATATTTCTTGATTTCTGTCAGGGTTGAAAATTTTTTATTCAGGTTAATTTTTTGAGGGTGTGAGTCAATGATGTAATATTTGTTATGTGTTGAAACACCGAAATTTATGATTGTTGAACCTCAGAAAAATGATAAATTCTATTTTGTTTACATTCTTCATCACTACCCTTCAGCAAGTTAATTGTACTTTCCTCCCCAAATAGTCTAAATCACTAGGTTTTTTTTCACATTTTTAATTTAAATTAACAACCACCTTTTGAGAAATATATAAAATAGTATTTTTCTGCAATTCACAAATACAGAAATAGAACTAATTAAAATTTAAACAGCATAGAAACTTACAACCATAGGACAGTATAAATGTATATCACCATATAAGATATCTTACAGCATTATAGAAGGTTGGAACTGGAAGGAAGAGATCATCAAGGTTGACCTGCTTCATTTTACAGATGAGGAAACTGAGACCTAGAGATATTTGGAGTTACCTAAGATCACTCAGTAAGTTGCAGAGCTGTGACTTGAATCCAGGCCTTTTGACTCCAGGATATATATTTGTTTTGTTCCAGTAGCCCACTCCTATGTAGGAGACAACAAATGTCTAGCTATTACTAAATGAAATTGCTATTAATATACTCCCTCTTATTCCCAGTTTACTAAGTAATTTGGAAATTGTGCTTTTCTACAATTTTTAATCTTTTGTTGTTGTTCAGTCATTTCAGTCATGTCTGACTCTTTGTGACCCTCTTTAGGGTTTTCTTGGCAGATACTGGAGCAGTTTGTCATTTCCTTCTTCAGCTCATTTAATAGATGAAGAATCTGAGGCAAGCAGGGTTAAGTGACTTGCCCAGGATCACACAGCTAATAAGTGTCTGAAGTCACATTTGAATTTGGCTCTTCCTGATTCCCTGGCCCAGCACTCTATCCACTGTGCCACGTAGTTGCCCTAATTTTTAATCTACTGGTGCTATATCAAGGTAGAATTCATTAGGCTATTTGATTTTCTCCTTGTGCCTGTAACTGTGGGATTTTAGTAAATAAAAAAAAAACTTTTATTAAGTACCTACTGTGTTCCAGGCACTATGCTAAGTAAGGCAAGGAAAGACCAACTGTGTTGCATAATGAATAGAGGGCTAACCTCATAGAAAAATCTGAGATTAAATTCTCCCACTTAACTATTCTGGCTATATGACCCTGAGTAAGTAACTTAAACTTCTCAATGGCCAAGACAACTCCGATATGCATTTGTACAGGGAATTAGTTCTCTATACCAGTAAATCACATATCACATTAAAAAGAAGAAAAGAAAGAAAGAAAAAAGAAAGAAAGAAAGAAAGAAAGAAAGAAAGAAAGAAAGAAGAAAAAAGAAAGAAAGAAAGAAAGAAAGAAAGAGGGAGGGAATAAGGAGGGAGGGAAGGTAGGAAGGAAGGAAGAAGGAAGGAAATAAGGAAAGAAGGAAGCTAAGTAGGAAGGAAGTAAGAAAGGAAAGTAAAGGAAGGAAGGAAGAGAAAGGAACGAGAAAGAGAGGGAGGAGGGAAAAAATCACTTAAGGGTTTTGTGAACTGCAACAGGAAAAAAAATACATCTTTATTTTCACTTACCTCCAACTGAAATTGAGCACTTCCTTAAAATATAAATATAGAAAATAAATTTCATTCTGAGAAGGGGTCCATAGGTTTCATCAGTCTACAAAAGAGATCCATAACACGCACAAAAGAATTAAGAACAGGGCTCTCATTTTATAAATGAGTAAACTGGAATCTAGAAAGGTTCAATGACTTGCCTACAGCCACACAGCTTGTTAGTGGTAGCTCAGACAAGAACGTAAGTCTCTTGACTCCATTGTTCCTTCCATTACACCATATTACCTCTTTTTGCCACAAACCCATATTATTTGTGGAGCTCCCAACAAAAAAGTCAAAGTCCTATTTAGGTGTCATCTCATCATTTGTATAATGGGGGAGGTGTATTGTTGAGCAGCCGAACCCTTTTCAGAGCCTGCCTAGTTGAGATGTTACTTCCCTGACAGTAAGACATTTACGCTCAGATAGAAAACCACTGCATGCACCCAACCCCCCCATCCCCCTTCTCAATTATTTTCCCTAACAATTAATGCTGTACTAACTTGACACTCTTTTTCCTTGTTTGGCTTTGTAAACCATCATCCTTTTTTCTATTAATTCCAGACATTAATATTTTCTTTCACGCAAGTGCTGCTATTCACCCGTGAAGCAGTTTGAACATTATGTAGCTGTCAAGATGCCTAGGGATTACCCAGTATGCCTTGCCTGTGAGAAAGTGACACCACTGAGGCCTAGTTTTGAGATGTTTATCTTGAGAGTAAGCTGACAGGCATGAAGGCCTGATCCCAGAGTGGCAATTTCATTTAATTAAAGGCTTCTTTTTATTATAGTTTTTTTTCCCACTGTTTATATATATATATATATATATATATAGATATAGATATATATATATAGATATATCTATATATATCTATATATATATATCTATATCTATATATATATATCTATATCAGAATGATTGTTAAAGTCTGACTCACCAGAGCCCCTCTGCTGTACAGTAAAAGGGGGAGGGGGTACACTATGTTGCTTACCACCATTTGAGAATGGCTTAGAAAGCATTCATTTTACCATTCTTCTCAATGCTCTTAACTGACTGAGGCCAGAATGGGAGAAAGGGCTGGCATTAGTGTTTCATAGTAACTAAAATTATAGGGCAGATATGCAGATTATTGGGGAAGGTTTTGTCCAAAAAATACTTTTTCCAGTATGACCTTGGCCCCATACCCTTGAACTATTGCCCCAATTACTCTATTCAAGTCTTTTTTTTGCTTGTTTTGGGTTTTGCTGGCCCATTTGTGGAGTGGACTTTCTTCTTAAATAGAATAGCTGAAAAGTACTTTCACTTTTCAGTAATACAAAACAGTTTGGCTAAATAGGCAGATAAAGGTGGCTGAAGACAAATGTAGATTGAAGAATTTTAGGAATTAAAGATTTAATATATTTGGTGGCAGAGTATTTGAATTTATTTTATAACAGTCTTTTTAACCTGTAAGTAATATTGTACCTGATTTCTAGAAATATAAACATTTCCAATATGCAGTTATTGAATGTAATTTTCATTTCCATTTAAAAATATGTGTGTGTGTGTGTGTGTGTGTGTGTGTGTGTGTGTGTGTGTATATCAGTTTCTAAGTTTAAGTTGATATTAACATTATTCTTAAAATAAATGTAACTTTTGAAAGTATACTGGCAAAAGCTTTTATTTCTGTGTAATTGCCGCACATTTTCCAAAAAATTAGATTTGGTACATGCCTTTGAAACCTCATATTTGTCCCATATATGTAGCTAACAATACTATACTAACATCGACTGTTTGTTAGCCAGTGGGTTTTTTTTTTACCTAGTGGTTTGAATGTTACAAACATTTTTGTATTGGAACATTTCTCATGTCTTCATTGTAATTTGGGTTCAGAGGCTGTTGTAATAAGTGATTCTCTTAATCCCCTTGGGGTTCAGTTTAAAAGCACCACAGTAGGTGCCATTGCAGGTCAGAGATGTCAGGTCTGCAGCCAGCTGAGTAACTGGTTTTAAGTTCAGCTGGCCCTTCTGGAACAATATGTTAGGGCTTTATTCCAGGTGCAGAGAGTCAAAAAGAGATATTGACTGTCAATTTAATCTCTACGCCCTCCTTTTCAGTGACCGTTGTTTAGTCACATCTTTTGAATCTCAGTGGCTTCAGAGATTTTTTTTAAAAGAATCTGCAGGTCCTGTAGAGTCAACCATCTGGCCATGCTCTTTAAAGTGGTTTCTTTCCCTTTTGCTGACACCCTGCTGTTCCTGGGAGGTACGGCCTTCTTCCCATGATTTCTGACACTGTCACTTGGTGCCTGTGAATTTTTTTTCTTGAATTAAAAAAGAAAGAAAAGAAAAGAAAACAACACAGAACAAAACTGAGAACTCTATTCAGATGCTACACACTGAAGGGGCAGAAGGAATGTCATTTATCCTGACACATCATCTTTTTTTCTTTCTTGGCCCCCAGGGCCCTCCATATATAAGAGGACTTTCATTGAGACTTTGTGGATGTGGGTTGAGTCTTGAGGGGGCGTAGAAGAACTTTGTTTTGTGATTCCTTGATTTTTAAAAATATCTTATTTCTTCCTGTTCCTTTTTGGGTTTCTTCTTAAAGGTACAAGTGATCCATATGTGAAATTTAAGCTGAATGGCAAGACCTTGTACAAAAGCAAAGTCATATACAAGAACCTGAACCCAGTTTGGGATGAGATAGTTATATTGCCAATACAAAGCCTTGATCAAAAGCTGCGAGTTAAGGTAACCAACTATGGCTGTGACATTTTAACATTGCTTTTGCTTGCCCCTTTTATTTCCTCTGTTGAGGATGAAAGACAAAATTAATTTGAAAAAATGAGTACTTTATATTCAAGTGCTGTGCTTTTAAGATTTGAATACAGGACAAAATTTTGTATACTGATGTCCTTTGCACTCAAGATTATTGGGATATGAGCTACAGAAACCTTTAGTTAGGATAATTTTCTCTGCATTTAAGCTTTCAGAACATAGAAGTTATTACCTGTGATGCAGTGATGATAAGTAATAAAGGTTTCTTGCTAGAAATATGTTTGTACTTAACAGAATGTTAAGGTACCAGTTGCAAGCAACAATTGCTCTAACATCTGTGTTGAAACAGCCAGATGAGTTTTGCTACAGAAATGTATTTAACAAATCTATGCTTATTTGACAAATATGTTCCAAATGGGAAAAAAAATCTACTTGAAAATTACATGTGAAAAGAAGTATGTAAAATGGTCATGCATATGAATTGGGCTTTTTATCATTTTCTTTGGATGTTTCAGGAGGTAAAGGTAAAAGAGATAAAATCCCTGAAGTGAAGTGAATGCTTCCTCTCCTAGGGATCTCTTAATTGTGTCTTAAACAAACACACATATCATTATACATAATATATTATTTATTATAGTGTAATATAATATAGTATAAATGTGTATCTATGCACATAATAATATAGTATATTATTAATTAGTAATATAGAATATTATATAGAGTTCTATATAACTATATATTTTATATGCAGATTTTAAAAAATCAGTTCATAGTCACTCTCATGTTTTATCAGATAATGCTTTTAATAATATATTTGATAGCTATGAGCAAACCATGGATGATTTTTATTTTCTTCCCTTTCAGGTATATGATCGAGATCTAACTACATCTGACTTTATGGGTTCTGCCTTTGTAGTCCTTAGTGACCTTGAGCTTAATAGGTACAGTATCTTTCTAAAATGATTTTCACAAGAAGAACATAGGAAGAGATAATGAGACAATTTTTACCACAGTATATTAGTAGTTATATTTCATCCAAAAGAAATATATTTGAATTTAAATCTTTGGTGATATGATAAGTGAAGGGGGTCATACCATTTGGTAAAAATTTGGATTGGATTTTGAATCACTTATGTGACATGATTTACAAAGAACAAGCATATATATTAAAGCTAAACTGTCACCAAAATGACTAGTAGGAAAAGTAAAGAAAATAACTGGCTAGTTGTTAAGATATTATTGAGCAATTGATTTAATCAATTCTTCTCCCAACCCTCTACTTCTCCTACTCCACCCCCCACTTCCAACACCTCTCCTTAGCTGAATTGGGTGATGATTTTGGATATTGTGCCATAGTTTAAAAGCAAAAGTAGAAGAATTTTTCCATAATTTTCTAATTTACATTATAACATATCCTTTAGTTCCGTATATCTGAAAATGCTAATGCTATTTATTATTGTTTGCCTTTAGAACAACTGAACATATTTTAAAATTGGAAGACCCAAACAGTTTAGAAGAGGACATGGGGGTTATTGTTTTAAATCTAAACCTGGTAGTGAAACAAGGTGATTTCAAGAGAAATGTAAGTGACGGGAATGTGTGTGTGTGAAAAGAAATCTTGACTTCCATCTTTGATTACTCTGCTATTAGATTAAATATTGAGATCTGTACACTTATTTTTATGTTTTATTGATGTAGAGGATCTCTTGGTGTACTCTGCCATTGGGAACAGCCTCTTCTCTGCAATTAATAGTATTAGAGACTTGCCTTGCACACTGAAAGATTATATTATTTATCCAAGGACACACAGCCAGTATGTGTCGGAGCTCAGATTTGAACCCAGGCCTTCCTGATTTAAGGTCCACCTATGTACTTATTATATTATGCTGCCTCTCAGTTATCATTAAAAAGCAATGATTCAATTTATAAGTGGTTATATATTATACTTCTCCCTAGAAGAAGACGCTGTAAAGAGAAAGTATGTTCATTTTGGTTGTGCATATTATTTTAGAAAACTATAAAGAACATATGTAGCTTGTGGTTTTAGGGTTATGTTAATGATAGTCTAAATGATGACTGTAAGTATGTTTTGACAGTTTTGTTTACAATTTATGCTAGATTCCAAATGACCCATACAGTGCTCAGCTGTGAGGAATAATTTCCTTGATCTAAATGTTGCATCATATAGTTGTTACAGTGTTAAATATAAACTCATAGAACTGTAATTTATTTTAACCAACATGTTTTCCATTCATATCTTCTTCAAGATATACTTTTTGAAATATTAGAATTTGCTATAAGTGAATAAAAATAACAGTGTGTATAAATTATAACTAGGTGAAGAATTCCAGGTAACAAACAATGATTTCATCACAGTATTTATGAAGCACGATGTGGATGTGTTCTTTAAATTTATTTTATATTCAATATATTTTATATTTATATATTCAATATATGTTATATTCTATTGACTCTTTTTAGAGAATTAAGCTGTCATAAAAATATTTTTATGATGGATCCAATGTGTAAAGCAATTTTAAAAATACCACCACCTTATAGATGAAAAAAAAAGATGAAATGTGAGTTTACTGGTTTTTATTTTCAGAATAAATTGTGCAAACCTGGGTTAAATTAGATGTTCATCAGTTAATAAAATACTTAAATCTTAAAAAAATAAGTTTATATGTGGGGAAGGGAGTGATTATTGGAAAAGGCATGGGGTTTGGGTACAGGATGATAGAAATGAACTTTATATTTTCCCTTCATTTACCTTTTATAATTTTTTGCTTTTAGTTATCACTACTTTTTGTAATTATCTGAGGGAATTTTACTTTATCTAATAAAATCACACAGGCTTGTAGACTACAGTAGAAGTGAGATGACTACCTAGAATTTCTAATCCCTTATATAAGAATGGTAGAAGAAAAATGCCCAATGTGTATTCAGCATAACTAGGCATGCTTTTTGTCTATGGGTAGACTGAAGCAACAAGGTGAAATAACCTCACCAAAGTCTCTTCTGGCATCATTTGCAGAACTGCAAACAAAATACCAAGTCCTTGTTTTTATGTGTAACTTGCTTGACCATCCATTTGTTTTTATTGGGAATTGAAGTTGTGCTTAAAGTATTTACACAAAATTTAAAATACATTTTGTGTGCTTAGAAAGATTTTTTAAGTATACATAAGACTGGGATGATCTGATGGAATGTCAATTACCTGAGGATCTCCTGGATAAACTTAGTTTTTCTGACTCAAATTTCTTATGAAGGTACTTCATAATAATCTTACTACAGAGAAGAATAACTACAAAACCTCTATATGCTGTACAAAATAAGTGTTGTCTGGAGTAGCCTAAGTCGAAGGGTATCTAAAATATGGTGTATGCCAAATTGTCACAAATAATCAGGTGCTGTGATGCCTTGAGAAATTTACTTGTGTTTATGTTGGAGTCAACAGATGCAAGAGCATTACTTTGTAGGAGGAAGGTTAAGTTGGAGGTGATAGAACCAGTATCAATATACTTGGAATCTTAAAGAAATTAATTTATAAAATTTATGATCTAATTGCTTGAAAAATAATAAAACAGGAATTAAATTTAATATTCAGTTTGGAGTAATGCCATTTGTTGACCTTGAGATTTCAGTGGGGAAAATGGACTTTTAATGAAGAAAATAGCAAAAATACTACTGTAATGATATTTCTGATTTCAGTCTATGAAACGTATTTTCCTCTAAAAGTTACTTGTAATCTCATTCATACTTTGTTGGGAAAGTGTATTGGGAGAGAGAAACATAACATTTACCCAAAGAGTCTCCTCCCCACAATAAACATACCATCATACAAATAATACTAAATGTAGTATGCTTGATTATATCCATAATCAAGATGTAATCTCTAGCATTTATTCAAGTTTTAGCAACCAGTTAGTTGTTTAACTAAGCAGAGTGGAGCTTTACTGAATCAGGCAACAATAGGAATAATGAAAGAATAATATTGAAATAGGATTTTAATTATGAAATATTTTCAACTTGGGTATGACAAATGAGTGTTAAAATGGAGTATGTGTTAAAGCTTCCTCCTGTCTGAAAAAATGTTCTTTCCCTCAGTACTTAAGTAAATTAATCTCCATTTTTTTATTCATTAAGTAATGATCCAGATTCTTCGTAAGTTAGATTTGTGTGTATACACACATACATACACATGCACATACACACACACATACATACATATCCATGTATGTGTATTCCTATGAATCTTTTCCCAACTCTCTTTTAAAATAAATGTTCCATGCTATCATTTATTTATGAGACCTCTCAGAGTTGTATTTCTAAATGGTAGACAAATTTGATTGTTTCAGCCATCTTGAGGACGGATACTAATCAATGAGATCAAGTAGATTTCATGTATTGGATTCTGAACTTGTGTTTGAAGTCTGAATAGTATCTGGAGATACTTTATCTTTGTGATTTTTTTTTTCTCAGCTTGGTACAAAAGTGTAATTGTTTTTATGTGAATTTTTTCAATTGAATTTCAGACATAGATAATGTACTACAGAAGACTATTGTTTTCAACTCTCTCACTGTACTTTTATTGGAACTATCAGAAAATTATTTTATTAAAATTTCTTTATTTCTGAAATACTTTCCTTTGTAAAATAATGCTCACCTTGGCATCGAATTAATTCTGTTTGATTCTGATGAATTAGCTAGAAACTATTGTAATTACAACCCATTTTATTGTTACTAACAGTTCTCTTCCCCCCCCCTTCATTTATTTACATGAAATTTTGGGGAATCCTACTCAACAATTCTTAGAGATGGTCAAATCGGAAGAGGTTAAGTGCAAGTAAGGTAATTTTACTTTTTTTCCTCTTAAATTGCTTAATAAATTCTTTTAAGGTAATGTTTATATAGTCATAACCTAGAGAAACTGAATTATAGGCATAGTAAGATACATTTTTTCTGACATAATTTTTCTGATAAATGGGGCATAATGAATCTTTCTAATTGTATTTACTAAATAAATGACTGATACATTTCAACACTGGAACATGCAAACATTTATACAAAATTTATAGTAAACAAGACTGAATAAAAAGATAGCACATTCAAGTGTGCTTCAGTTGAGAACCAGGAGTACTTCTTCAATTGACTATTATTTTTAGTAATAATGTTTTCCTTACTCTTGGATACATTTAATTTTCTTACATTTCTTTTAATTAAAGGGTGTTTAACTTAGTTTAATTTTTTTTTAAATTTTAGTTCAGTTTTTTGTTTTAAGTTAACTTTAGTGATAATAGAAGCATAAATATTAGAATGTTAATTGAGAAAATTATGTGCTATCTTTTGAAAGCTTATATTGAGTCCCTTCCAGAAATCTGTATTGTATTTCTTTCGAGTGAGCAATTACCTAAAAATCTTCATGAAGGAATATAAAGTGTGTGTGTGTGTGTGTGTGTGTGTGTGTGTGTGTGTGTGTGTCTGTGTGTATAGCTTCTGAACTTATGCTGGAAGTCTATATGTATATGTGTATATATGTATATGCATATACACATATGCATGATATATGTGTGTGCTATCTTATTCACTCAGTCTTATTTGCTACAAATTTTTTACAAATGTTTATAGCTTCCAGTGTCATTAAAACTCTTTTCAGTCCCAAAGTAATTTTTAAAAGAAATATTAGGATATTTTTAACTTATATAGCCAAATACTAATACTAGAAAATATTTAGGGTGGTTAGGCAGAAATGAATAATCATTTCAGCAATTTTGAGTTGACTAATGTGAAACCAAAGGCAAATTATTAAATTCATCTGAAAACTGTTCTGTCAGGTAAATTGCCTTGTTCTGTATCTGTTGTGTCTATATATGTGTGGTATAGTATAAAATGGGGCACTAGAAGTCAATAAAGCTGGATTCTAATTCTTAGCCTGTCACTAACTGGTTAGATGACCTCTTTGGGTATCAGTTTCTCCAACTATAGTAAAATATCTGAATTATATCATCTCTAATATCAATGGCAACTATAAAAAAGTTTGAGTGTTTGTACACATATACATGTACATCTTTTAAGTTTGCAGCTCTAATATATGTGGAATGTGTGTGCATGTGCCTAAAATGTATAAAAAGATATTTTAGGTCTGACAGTTGCTAGATGCTCACAAGGAAAAAAAAGTTTAGTGCTTCAAATTATGCTCTTTGGTTTTCAGAAGAGCCAAAGTTCTGTCTGTGTTATTATCTTGACATATTATATAATCTTTGCATTTTTGGATCCTTTAAAAATAACTTAAGATAAAGCTTTATGTTATCCTGGCAAATCATTTGGTTCCCAAGGCTCTGGTCAATGTCTTAGAATCTTTTAAAGTAAAACTAAAAGGTGCCAAATAATGGTATTGGATTAGGGAAAATATCATGATTCATTTTCCTAAAAAATTCCCTAAACTTTTGCTTTGTTCTATTATAGTCACTAGAGGGTAGAAGAGCATCAGTTCTCACCAAAGAAGGCCTGGTTCAAGCTCTCACACATTAAGAAGAGTTTCTGTAGCCATCTGAAACAGTAAAGAATTTCCCAGAATGCTTTGGTGAAACCTGACAAAGCAGTATTTTCTAGTTTATTGATTCTGCTACTGCACTAAAAAACTAGTACTGCACATCAATAACCATCTTTAGTTAGGGAACTCTGGTCTGTGCAACAGTACTGGCAGTTTGTGGAAGAACATAAAGGCTAGAAAGAAAAATTGTGAGCTTGGGGAATATTGGAGTCTAGGGAGGACAGGAAAGGTTATGGAAGAATGGTCAAAGGAGTGGAGTGGGGTAAAAAAATGTTGATGGCCTGGATAAAGATATCAAAAATATGAAGGAAACATGGGATCCTGGAGAGCAGTATTATCTATATTTGCAGAGCTTGGTGATAGCATTCCCAATTCTCCTTCTACTATTAAAAAAAGGCTTAAAAATCATAGAGCACCCAGGGAATTCTTACTACATAATATACCATATGGTAACTGAATTACTCCAGAATATACAACTAAAGAGAGGTGTGTGTGTACCTGAATATATATGCACTACATACATACATACATACATACATACATACATACATAATACATATACACATATGCATATATACACACACACACACACACACACACACACACACATAGATACCCCCAAATACATATCATGAATATACTAATCAATGATTGGGATTATTGCTTATATGAGGAGGGGAAATGAGAAATGATTTACATTTTTTAATACAAACATATGGAGAAATCCATAGTCACTCATTAAAGACTAACAAAAGGTAATTTAGACAAATATGTGCCAATTAATTTTTGCTCATTTAGGGTTTTTTATATTCTCCAACATTAAATTTTGAGTTTTCTCCTATAATATTTTTTAAAACGCATTCCATAAGGATTTTAAGAGAACAGAGATAATTAAAAAGTATCCCAAATTTTAGGGGTTCTAAGTGACTGTGTTAACTGTGAAAAAGTTGACTTGTTCACCTCAATTTCATTTTACTGATAACTTGGCTTTGTATCCATAATTGCATCCACAATTGTATGAGTTAAATTGCATCATCTTAACCCATCAAACAGAAAGTTCCAAAGCATTACACCTCTGTGGTCTTTCTTTCATACTCTTTTCTTGACATTATATCTCAAGTTTTAAAACAGAATGTGTGAAGAATATTTTTAGTAGACTTGGGAATGAATCTGAACTCTTTGCTATCATTTTCCTATCTTTAAAAAAAAATAACATCAAGATGAATTCTCCCTTTCACTGAAAATTAAGTATAATTGCAGATAGAAGGTCTGCGTTGATAGTGTGTGTGTGTGTGTGTGTGTGTGTGTGTGTATGTGTAGCTATATGTAATCTGCAATACAGATAAATTTACAGAGTTTGCCAAATTTCAATTCTATTTTATATTTTGATGCTATTAATTGTAGATAACTGATAATTGCAATTGATATGTCTTAAAGTTTGAAAAATATCATTACTACATGATCTCATTTGTTTCTCCTAACTACCCCTTAAAGCAAGTAATATTCTCATTATTTTCCCAGTCTTGTACTAAGGAAACCAAGACAGAGAGGCTTCAGTGACATCTCTATCATCACAGAAGTACCTAATTAGTATCTCGGGTCCCTTCTAACTTCAGCAATCTTTTGACCATACCACATGTTTCTAGATATCATAAATGAACCACTGTTTGTCTTATTTTCCTTAAGCTCCTATGTATAAGATCTGAGATCCAAAGAGGAATATCTAAATGTAATGAGGTACCCTTCATGTACAACAAAGAGAATTCTTTTAACTCACTCTGAGAACATATACTGTGAGATACTGGTTTTTAATGGTGCTGAGTTAACCCAGAACTTTCTGTACACTCACTTGGCCTCCCTTGTGACCAGCAGCATGGATTTGTGAGCCAGCTGAATGTAATTTAGCACTCTAGCCCATGTGGAGCATTGTTTTGTTGTATGAAGGTCGATATAAGGGCTGAACCCTAGGCTTGTGACTCCCTCCAATAGCATCCTGCTATTTCCAACATTGGAAGTTCTTGGTTACCATCTAAGTAGCTTGTTAAGAATCCACTGCTGATGCTTTCTTTGTCACTAATTTTCTGTCCCTGAGATGATGGTCTCAGTCACCAGTATCCAGGCAGGCAGTAGTACTATGAAAGGGCTAGGCAAATAAACAATTTGTTTTGCTTGGGGAAACTCTCCCTTTGACATGCAGGAGGGTCTGCCAGTTTGAGTGACAGAGTTGTGAGCTATCCCTGTTCTGTTTCCATGTATTCAAGTCAGAGTGAACTGATTGAATAAATTGGCTAAAAGGTTATTTCTGAATCCTGAGAATTAATTTATCATGAGGCATAGTCATATTCTCTCCCACACTTCTCATCCCGCTTTAATTTTGTTTGTCTGCCTCAGTGTATTTGATTTTTCTAGAAACGCCCTTTGGCATTGGCACATCTCAAGGAGCAAACTCAGATGCCACTGGGTCCAGTGCCATCTCAGCCATCTTCCTGTCAGCTTAAATGGCTTTTCTTCTCCCCTTTCCCAGAGGGCAGCTGCCTCCACTGGCTGATTTGCTTGCCTAATGAGTGATACTCTGGAATTCTTTTTGCACATCATGGTGGTTACAGTCTTGACTTTGACCTAGTCAAAGAGATTTAAGTTCTTTAGTGCCTTCCTTCCTTCCTTTCTCTCCTTCTCAGGCCTTTCCTCCTCTCTCCCCCTCTAACCATACTCAGGCTGCCTTCAGAGTACAATGTAATGCATCATTTTCATTTGATATCTCCCTACCTGCTTATGTATTTTGTAGACTGTAATTTGCAGAAAGAGTGACTTGATGTGGGTTTGAGCACTTTCTTGGCTGGAAATTGTTTTAAACATTTTTAGCCACATGGTAGCTTTCTTAGTATGTGAATAGCTAGATATATAAGAAATTTTTTAAAGACGATGAGGAAAGAAGTAAGGAGAAGTGCTATTTATCTATGATATTATACTGCTCTGTGACTACAAAGGAAAGGGAATATTAGTGGTTCATTCAGATATGGTTTTTTGTTTGTTTGTTGATTAGTTACTTTTTGTATTAGATCAGTGGTTTTGTCTGTTTAGAGAGCTCCTGGTGAGGAACTCCCTCTATCAATGTAGAATGACTCCTACTAGGTCTTAAAGAGTTGCCTGGGGCACTGAGAGGTGACCTGCCCAGGATCACATAGCCAATATGTGTCAGAAGTGGTTCTTCAATCTAGGCTGTCCTGTTTCTTACGTCTGCTATATTTATCCACCACACGTGGTGTCAAATTCAAATAGAATCAAATCCCAGCAGACA